GAGATATAGCTATTTATCTAAAGCTATCTCAACTAGCGCAGATGCACTCATTCAAATACATTGTATCACTATAGATCAATTGTGCATAATAAGATAGCACTACAGGCGTTACGGTCTTCAAAGTACCGGTAATCTCAGGTTATTCCGGTAACACATGAATTTGGTTGCAGCATTCGATTGCTAAGAATCTCTACATTCGGACTATCATATATTTTGAAGAGAACTTATGATTAGATGAAGAGATATAGCTCTTTTCTCAATTGTATACGGTTTACCATATTCGAGCCTACCCTCAGGTTTGCCCAATAATATATGAATATTTGCACACCAGTCGATCCAACGGGATCTCTAAATTCAGAAAAACGTATATTTTGCGGAGCGATTCTTTTGTACACCAGTCGATCCAGCGGAATCTTTAAATTAGGAAAAAAATTGTTTCCGAGTGATTTTGCTTCCTTGAAGAGATATAGCTATTTTTCTAAAGCCATCTCAATTAGCGCAAAGGCACTCATTCAAATACATTGTATCACTATAGATCGATTGCATACATTAATATATGTATTCATCGTTATATTGTGCTGCAAGATTTAATCAGAATGTTTACACGTCACTTTGAATTTCGTTCATTAGGAATGTGACATCTATCAATGAGCTGGTCGAATATGACTCATTCGTTTTTGAATTTTTTTATGTACCTGTGTTGCACTGTAATCGATGGCTTTTATGTGGTAGTACAAAGTAAGAGAATTACAATGGATAAATTAACATAAAATCAAAGATTACCGAAACTAGCAATATGATTTGTCAAATTGAACAGTTAAGAGAACATTCAAACCGATAAGGGGAGAATATAAGTGATAGCAAAGGTTCATGAGGCAAATAATCTTTGAGTGCACAGATGAACATTTCAAAAATGAGTATTTGAAATGAGCAGTAATGAGGCAAAACATATAAGATGCAGTAGAACGTTTGCAGTAGACATCGGTTTGATACCATTAGTAGTCGTCGACTGCACACTCTTAGGAGTTGTACCACGTGTAGACGTCGACTGTGGAATCTCAGGAGATGTACCACGATTACATCCGGGAGCGTGATCATTGCAGCAAATAACGGTCAAAAGGGAGCCATCCACATTGCGCAATCGCATTTTGACATGATAACCCTTAAATTTCATTCAAACTTAGTTACAACGGTATTTTTGGAGTGATGAACTTCAAAATGACGCAGATTTCAACATCGAGGATTGATGCGAAATACTCAGCAATAATGAACAATGATAAATGATTTGAATTCACTATATTAATTCAAAAAATGAACGTTTCAATCTGTGGTTAGCGATCTATCTTGACGCTTAAGATTGAGTGTGAAATTTCTTTGAAACTGCTGGATGACGCTCACCTCAGGTATATCTACGTTGTTGCAAAAATCCAGCATTTCTGGATCATAGCAGCTTCTCATCTCAACCCACGATCCATTCACGATGCTCTGGCCATACATCCTGAAACTTTTACTATCACAGAATGCTGCGGATATATGATTTATTTCTCGATTAAGCGGACAGCCTTAATCAACAATTATTCAGTGTCAGGCTAGCACTTGGCTAAACTCATTTTCCTTGAATTGGAGCAAATTGACTCTAAAATACAAAGTTAAAGAGCACAGTTAAAACGGTATCTGCGAAATCCGAAAGCCTAATGGTGTTGGTCCGATCAGAAATAGCCAGAAACTACAAATGTGTCAGATTTCGTAATTGTAAGGGATAAAATGCTGATTCGCTCACCAAAGGCAGTAAGGATTGTTGGAAGGACATGAGGTAAGACTACCGCCTTTTGTATCGTCATAACACGTTATCGCACAAGTTGATCCCACACAGAGCACTGCTAAGAGAATGATGTATCCAGGCGACATTCGTTTGTTTAGAGACATTGCCGAATGACTAATATTCTTTGAAAATATATGAAAATGATGCCTCGATCGTTGAATTATACGAGATGAGCGAGTAAAATTTGTCACACCTTCTGAAGGGTACTGAAATTGTGTAAGGCGAATAATTCACATTGGATATAGCGAATAATCATATCATCTAATTGTATATTAAGAAACGTTATTCAGCAAATTGCTGACAGTGAATAGTGTTTCATTCAGCACTACGTATGTGAAACTTCAGTCTGAGATTATAACACTTCTCAAGAGTTACCTCAACTTCGGTAGCGTCATCGTAAGTTAAACTGTTTGAGACAATTCACTAGTCTTGTTTGTAGGTTAAATATTATCACACAACGATTAAGAAGTATTTAATTTGACGTTTCGAATATATCTGCTGATATTAAAATTCATTCGCTACGGACAGTTATTATCATTCATTAAAATTGTTTCCAATCACCTCTACTGATACTGACAATGAGACGTATTTAGCCGTCACACATTGGAACGCATAACTGACACGATCAATGATGTGGATTT